TCACTCTGGTCTAGGCTTCTTTTCTCATCTTCTTGCACTTCATGGATTGCACAAAGTGGCCCAATAATGGTCATTGCTCTCTGCAGTAAGATTAAGAGTACTCAAAGGTCACACAAGATTTCTCAGGGCTTTACTATCGACTTTTCAAATGTGGAGCAAAGTCTGAATGAAGCACGATCTATCTGATCATTTGGGGAAACACATCCTGCTAGGTAGTGGGTATAACTGCTGCTGAAAACTGTACAGTGAACTGATAGATTGATGACCATATCCAAAACAAACCGAGCATGAAACTTATCTTAGAACCAGGATACACACTGCTTCATCTTGGATGTAACATGAAGATCCTGCTTACATATTTTACAGAGGAATGGAAGATCAGTCTAAGGTTGCTAAATATGCAAAGATTCTGCAATTCCAAAGGCGTGCCCAGAAGAAATACAAGCTGTAGTGGGTTGTCACACTGTGACTTCACGTCTGGATTGGATTTGGCAGCTACCCCATAAAAAGCTTGTCACACACTCAGTAATGGAATAAACTTTGATCCCTACTGGTCGGGGGGCAGCAATATTGAACAAGTAGTGGATGGGAAACACAATGACTTTGATTTTCCTTTGGCTATTTTTTACTTTTGGATTTTTCTGGCCTCAGACAATGTCAGAGGGCAGGCAGGCAACAGATTGTCTACAGAGAGATAATAACTACTCTAGTCATAGATTACAGTATTATTAGTTTTATATTTCTAAACAATGTCAGAAGATATCAGACATCTCTGGAACCTCTGACCTGAACTCTGAAACACTGCTTATAGAATCAACCAACATTTCTCAGTAAAAAAAGAATAACATTTTCTTAAAGTAATCACAAACACCTCTCAGTCATGTAGGTTATAAGGCACTGTTTTGTATCCCATTTCCTGAATCAAGTGACTTAGCACAGTTAAGTAAAGTTCCACAGTTTAAGCTATGCTAAGCTGGCATTGATACTGAAAGAACCAACTCACCCTATCATCTCCATCCTCTTTTTCTCCCTCTTGCACATTTTTCCCCTCTCTGGCATACACATTTATGCAGCTGACAAACAGTGACACAAACCGAGAAGCCAGATTAAAACAAGACTAAAAGCTGTAAAACGATTCATTTTAGCACTCTAAGTAATCAACCAAATTGTAGAACTAAAGCTTAAGAAATCAAAACTGCTCACCAAATGTACTTAAGAAGGAGGCATAAATGCAGACTTACCTTTGATAAAGGCAAAAGCCCACCTTGTTACCAATATAGAAGGTTTTAATTTCATTTTCACTGTGTTTCATTTTAGGTTGCCAGCATAGTTAGAAACCATGAAAGTGTGCAGTTAGGTCTTCTAATGAAAACTGAACTGTGTCCAGCATAATTTTGCACCTATTATTCCTAAATTTCTGCATCCCTGCTATTTCTAAAACTGATCTCCGTGGCTACATTTGCTAATCACAATAAACTGTAGAATATTTGGTTTTCTAAGTGCCTGGGTGTAAGAGCTTCTGGGGAGTTCCTGGGGAGATGAGACAGATAAGCTCTTTTTGACTTCCAAACTCATAAAAGACTGGAAGAGAAGAAAATCCAGCTCATCAAAACACAACCAGTCCCATTCATCTCTGTGTTATTCTCAAGTTATGTATTATAACGTTTGGATCATGGGGGTTAAATGTAAGCAATCTCAAGGCAATGCAAAAGGAAATATGCCTTTTTCCCATTCTTTTCATTGTAACAAAAGTGATTTTGATGTGCCCTTTTTTGAAAATATAGAGAAGTCTGTTTCTTAAAGGAAAAATAGCTCAGTTATTAGAGAGCTATGACAGAGGTGTAAGAAAGAACGTCTGGATTTAGACATGGCATTATTTGCATCTGCCTGAAATACACTACATACACCAAAAGCAGCACTTGGAAGGAAGAAGTGAAATGATCTTCTATCTTGAATGTTTATCTCTAATTTAAAGCACTGTCCAATGCTAAAAACAGACCATTAACTTCTAAAGATTGGCTGTGCTTCTGATAAGCTTCTGGTAGGTTTCTAGATGAGACAGCAACCTAAGCAACAGTACTTTTTGCATTACATTGCTGTTACTACAGCATCACAAATTTGTTTGATATAATATATGGATTGTGCAGATAAAGATTTGTGTCCCACACATTTCTAGCCAAACAATAGTATTACTGTAATACCACTTCAAAAATATTTACATAGTATTGGTGGGAGAGCAGTTAAGCAATGATACTTGTACATGCCTAAACATTCCACCCAGGTGAAGAACAAACAAAGCTGACAAATACCTTACTCTTTACTAAATGCTACTGTATATTCCAACTAGAACTAGTACAAATGTTTGTGCTTTTGCAGAAATGGAAAACAGCAAATTTATTTTGTAAGGAGAGGAAGTAGCTAGAGGGGAGACAATAATATTTTCAATTAAGAAGCAAGAGGACCCCACCTTCAAATTTTCATTCCAGTGAACTGGAATGAAGGCTCATTTAATTAAATACATTATTTGCACGGTGGTATGTCTATCATTTTTTAGTAGGTGAACAATATGACAGTCCTAAGGAAGTCTCTAATATAGTAGATTTTGCTTTAATCCAAAATGAGAAGATAACTTGAAGCAAACACATTATCAAGAGAAAGAGAACTGCTGAGCTACTAATTCAATGTGTAATTATTGCTAAATGCTACTGGCTTCGAGATCAGAGGAATGGAGGGCAGCACACACATGCCAATATTTGACAATGTTTCTGAAGCTGTTTGTGGAAGTGATGCAAGTAGGACTGATATCCATGGCAGGAAAGTACCAGAAAATATGCTTAAGAGCAGAATAAACACACACATAGTAACACTGCCTAATGGGGAACTGTTAATATGGCTTTGGGGCTCACAGCCCAGGAATCTAGACATGTTCTTCCAGTGATCATGTTGATACAGGTGATCTGGTTGATACAGTGAACTTTTGATACAGAAATAACACTTTTCTTTCTGAGAAAATGATTTATCACAGGCTTATTCTGCTGTCAGGAGGAAAACAAAAAAAGATACCAGGAAATACAAGCATCTTTGCTTTGATAAATTAACTCTTAGTTTTCTTTTTATAAATTAATAATCAGTTGCTTTCTTTTATAGTGGCTGGTTATTACCTGGCACTAACAAATATATGTCCAGTATGCATAAACAATCAGGAAAATGGAAGAATAAAAATGGATATTTTCTGATGATGTGAATTACAGATATTAATCAAAACAAAAATTGGCTGTCATCTCCTGTAAAAGAACCTTATGAAACTGAATAAGATAAACAGGCAGACAAAATTCATTGATAAAATTCAAAGACATACATCCCACATTAGACTACAACTTACATGATTCCTAGGATTCAGTTTTTCAAAGTGCAGGAATAAAGGTCAAATTAATGATCCAGTAGCAAAGTTAGAAAAAAAAAAACAGCTGTTTTTCTCCCTCAGTGTTTTCCATAGTTAAACTTTAGAACTCATTGCTACAAAATGCTTTGTATTTCAAAGGAATAAAATACAAGTAATGGCAAAAAAAATCCACTCTTGGGTGCTATTAATTACAAAATCGTAATATAACATCTGACTTCAAAGGGTCTGCACAATAAACACCTTGCAGGAAGCTGAGATGGCATGCTATCTGCTTACTCTGTTCTTACACTGCTTTCTTGAAGATCCAGTGTTGGCCCCATCAAAGAAAAAGCACTGTACCAAAACTACCTTTTCCTCAATGAAATGCAGCCATTTTATGCTGTGTGATGTTAATGGCTACTGCTGACTCTCAAATAATTCACAGATGAGTGGCAAAAATATTTGCATTTTGGATCTAAGGCAAATCCTATAATTGCTTACTTTCACATGCAGAAACAGAACAACATTTAGCTACTGATGAAGTGAATCAAAACCATTTGGGAAATGCCTCTAATGGATTTAACAGACTAAGTGCAGATTACAGCATCAACCTCTAAAGAAACAAAAAAAATATTGCTATTCTTGTTTAGAAATATGGCTTAACTAAACCACCAGAATTGAACACTTCCACTCACCAAGAACTCAGAACTCTAGACTAGGGTGGTACATCCAGATAAAAAATCACAAGAGAGTAATGCCAAAATCAGCAAAGAAGCTGCAGTAGTGGCATTGATGAACTAGAATCCATCACATGTAACCTCCAGAAGAAACCATTTACTTTTCAGAAGAGCCTGTTTCTTTCCCCTGACTATAACAGCAGTCCAAATAAATGGTTCAGATGTAGAACTCTACATTATAGTTGTCCAGCATCAGGTGAGATTGAATCCCATGGCCCTGGAAACTGAATACTGAATTAACTTTCATCTGTGCTCCTTATGTATACTGGACTCCTCCAGACAAGACTGTTCCAAAAGTAATGTCTCCTGCTTAATTATGTTGGTCCACGACATGAGAGGCAGATTATGGTGGTATGGCAGTAGGGATTGAACCTTCCCACCAGTATTCCATTACATTTTATTGATGTGTGACAGATGGCAGCAGATGGGCAGTCTGACAGAATGGCATCTGACATGGAAGTGTGGATGAAGCAAAGGAGTGTAGCTGAATTCCTCCATCCAGAAAAAATGGCACACACTGATGTTCATTGATGCTTGCTGAACATTTATGGAGATCAAACAGTGACATGTGCACAGTGAGGAAGTGAGTGGTGCATTCCAGCAGTGAGTGACAACAGTGGGTCACCTCTGCTTGTGTAGATTTTCACAAGTGCAACATGCAGGCTCTTGTTCATCGCTGATGCAAATGCAAGGCTAATGGTGACTATGTTGAAAAATAGTGCTTTGTAGCTGAGAATTTGCTCTATCAAATAGTGTGACTGTGCTCACTGTTTCTGCTGTAGTTTCCACAGAAATAAACAGAAGGCATTACTTTCGGAGCAATTTTTAAGGAAGAGTATCTCAGAGTCAGAGAATGTTGTAAATATTTAGCAGCTACTTACATAAGGTTTAGGACGTGCTCCAGTTGATACTGGGTAAGGTAAACAGTCTGAATCCTGGTAGTCTGCACTTCTGTGCTTCCATGATCCCTGTTCTTGATGATCTCTATAAGAGTTTGTCTCCACTCGAGCAGGGCACTGTAAGAGAATTTTTAAAACCCTGAAATAAATGCAAGTCATAAATACTTTTAATGTGAACTGCAAGATAAAAATATTGGAATTTTATCTTTTTAAAACTTTTTTTTCCTTGTGATGTGAAGTAGACTTTTTACCTCAATTTTTTTCTTAAAAATGTATGCTGCATCATTTTTACATCTTGGGGTAAAGAGACTTCCTTAACAGCTAGTAGATAAAACTGAAGAATTATTAGATGTACATCTTCCTGAATATCAAGGAACTGAATAACCTCTGCATTAGACAATATATGATTTTATTTATTTAAAACTGTCTTTTCACTGAAATTCATGATTCTATGATGTTCTTTTATTTAACTTAATTGAAGATCCTGAACTTACATACTCTGAACCTTCCAAATCTCCTTTTCCTTGTTCCCCAGGTCCCACGAGGTTTTACTTAATAGCTTTACTTCCATACAAATTTTTAAAGGATAAATGTTCTAAAATGGGACTTTAAAAAAAAATTTATATATATAGGACCCATGTATACCTGGTCACACTAAATTTAATACAAAGAAGACAACTTGCACAGCATTTCCCCATGTATACTAATTTGTCTAAAAAAACCAATGAGGTGTGTGAACAAGGAGCAAGCCAAACTGCAATCCAGCAGGATTTGTGTTGGGATCAATCAGAGAATCAGGATCATGGGTACACTACAGAGCAGCCCCAGGCTGTAATTTGCAGTCAAAGTCAGCCCATTTGCTGACAAGAGGAAAAAATTGCTGCTGGTCTGTAATTGCATTGTTCCCAGCTAGAATATTCTTCAGACTTTAAAATGAGAAGGCTTTGCAAGGCTGACAAAAGATGCGGCCCAAAAATGTTTTGTAGGTAATATATTACCTACAAAATAATTGAAAGAATGTGTAAGTTAAGTTTTGTTCAACAAGAGTCATCTTTCTAATATTAGACAGGGTGACTGTAATCAAATAGAATTTCTGTGTCACTCTCCATGAATGATGAATGACTAGAACTAAAAAAAGTTATTTTAATTCTTCAAATCCACTGGTTTTGTTGTTGTTGTTGTTGTTTTTCTGTAGTGAAAATTAGTGTTACACATCAAATGTAAATGAAAGAAGTTTATCAAAAAAGTGAAATTTTGCTTACAGCAAGGCTGTTTTCCCTCTGCTGATAAAGCTTTTGATATGGTCCCATACCACATTCATTTCTCTAAATAGGAAAGATCAGATTTTAAGGGTGAAGTACTCAGTGGATAAGGCTGGCTGAGTGGTTCAATGGCTCTGTGTCTGGCTGGAGGTTGGTCACAAGTGGGAACAGTTCTCATCAACATCACTGTCAATGACATAGACAGTGGGATTGAGTGGGAAGAAGGACTCCTTGAGAATCACAGAATCACTAAGGTTGGAAAAGACATACAAGGTCATCCAGTCCAACCATCCACCTATCACCAATGGTTCTCGCTAAACCATATCCCTCAACACAACATCCAAACGTTCCTTGAATACCTCCAGGGAAGGGGACTCCACCACCTCCCTGGGCAGCCCATTCCAGTGCCTGACCACCCTTTCAGAGAAGTAGTATTTCCTAATATCCAGCCTGAATCTTCCCTGGCGCAGCTTGAAAACATTCCCTCTAGTCCTAACAACTCTGTGGAGAAGGACTCGGGAGTCCTGATGGACAAGAAGCTGGACATGAGCCAGCAGTGTGCTCTTGCAGCCTGGAAGGCCAACATTATCCTGGGCTGCATCAAAAGAGGGATGTCCAGCAGGGAGAGGGAGGGGATTGTCCCCCTCTATTCTGTCATCATGAGGCCCCATCTGGAGTACTGCGTCCAGGTGTGGGGGCCCTAGAACAGGAAGAATGTAAAGCTTTTGGAGTGGATCCAGAGGAGGGCAAAGAGGATCGATCATCAGAGGGCTGGAGCACCTCTACTGTGAAGAAAAGTTGAGGGAGTTGAGCTTGTTCAGTTTGGAGAAAAGAAGGCCCTGGAGAGACCTCAGTGGGGCCTTCCAGGGCTTCAAGGGAGCCTTTATAAACAGAAGGGAAACCGACTCACACAAAGGGGAATGATTTAAACTAAAAAAGGGGAGATGTAGTTTAGATATCAGGAGGAGATAATTTACTCAGAGGGTGTTGATACACTGGACAGGCTATCATGAACAGGTGAAAAATCCATCAGTAGAAAATATACTGACTCATTAAATGAACCCAGTGATTAAACTATGCATGTATACCTCAGATATAACATTTGCCATGCTAAACAAATACAGTCATCTCTTTAAAACTGCCCACACGAAAGAGACCAATTCTCTTTGCAGCAGTGCCAGCAAATATTTTTACAACTCATGCAGTAGTCACCTGCTTCTGAGAACTTGGATCTACAAGTTGGTCTCGCATTTGTGAATTGTTCTGCTCAAATCTCTTTTCAATTATTGTTTCTCATTTCAATTCCTACTCTATATAGTAAAAATAGGATAAAATCGTATGAAGAACTCATAACTAATAGCATAGTTGCTAGTAAACATATGTTTGAAATAGACCTTCTTCCTATTCAAGTTTCATTATGAATGAAAAGAGTAAAACATCTGATGGAGAAAGTTGTTAAGTTATATAAAGAAATAGGGACTAAGAGGGATGGACTGATAAAAGTTAGTCATGTAGCCATACAAAACCTCTGTGTTTGTTTTCCTTTTTTCCTTGCTGCAACTGTTGTTTTGAGATTTCCAAAATTAAGTTTCTTCATATTAAATTCATGGAGAGGTTTAGAAGGATGTATTTCTCTTCTTTGACTATATGCGTATCACAGAATTGTAGGGATTGAAATGGACTTCTGGAAGTCATCTAGTCTGTCTTCAAAGCAAATTTCCTACGTTAAACAGAAAAGCATCCAGGTGGGTTTTGAATATCACAGGAGAAAACTCCACCACCTCTCTTGGCAGCTTGTTTCAATGCTCTGCCACTTTCACAGAAAAGAGGTTTTTTCTCATGTTTATATGGAATTCCATGTGTTCTAGTTCATGCTCATTGCCTCTTGTCCAGTCATTGGGCACCACCAAAAAGAGCATGGCCTATTCTCTTAACTCTCACCCATAAGCTGTTTATAAGTATGCCTTGATAAGACCCTATCTCAGTCTTCTTCATGCTGAACAGCCCCAGGTCTCTCAGCCTTTCCTCACAAGGGAGATACCTTAACCACCTTCGTAACCCTCCACTGTGTCTAGAAGTTCCCTATCTTTCTTGAAGTGAGGAGCCAGAACTGGACACAATACTTCACATATGGTATCACCAGATCAGACAATCTCCTCAAGCTGCTGGCCATGCCAGGGTACCATTTACCTTGTTGGCCACAGTGGCATTAAGGTAACTCATTTAAAGGCAACTAACTCTTAGATGTTTAAATTAGGGCTGATAATTCACTTACTGAGAAATTATTTGTTTGTAATAATAATTTGTTTGCCTAACCAAACTGGTTTTTGCCTTAGGAGAATAGGCACAGACATAAAATAATAAAATGGTGTCTGGATCACCACTTAACAAAATCTGACTGGCTAACAAAGGGAAGTACATGCATTCTGATGGCTTGGATCTCTCTTTCAGGCAGAAAAGCAGAACACTGCCATGGCATTTCGACAGAAGCCATTGAGCAGTTTCCTACAAGAACACAGAATACTGTCCATTAACAGATGGGCAAGCGGAGATAAAGGAGTGATGAAATGAATTTAGCCGGAAAAAGCTGATTTGCTAACGTACAGAAAGAAAGAAATGAGGGACAGGCATGACGATTTTCTAACACTGTCACTGCAGAATATGGAAAAGCATACTGCAAAATACAACACTGAAAGATGCAGGATTCTGAACTTCCCAGCTTGAGGGACACCATGACCTGCACAGATGTTTACTTAAGGAATTTGTTTTTCCAAAATGTAGCAGCAGTGATGGGAAAAGCATTCAAACAAGCACAATTTCCAGGAATTTCATGCCAGCACTAACATGTGGAGCTGCAAATCCAAACAACCCTATCTTAAGAACTGATTTTAATCACAGGCTAAAGTAGAGAACAAACACTCCTACTTCTCACACTGTTCCTTCTCCAGTTACTGATTCCTATAAAAAAACATCTTGCTTGTTAAAAAAATACTAAAATTATATTATTCCTTCTTAATCCCATTTGCCTTCAAATTAAAAGCTTTGGTAACTGTTTGCCTTAATTGACAAAACTCGCCACCATAAATACTTTAAATACAGGAATGCATCTCTAGAAGAAATACAAAAAATACTAATTTATCTGTTAATGAAGATATATAGTGTCTTCCTTGCTTTTGAGTCTTTATATAAATATGACGTGTAAATACACTAATACTGAACTTTCAATTTCACAATATTCTACTTTGAGAAACTGTGTCAAATGCAATCATCAAGAGCCACATCCCCCCCTAAAAAGTAGCTTTGAAGATTTTAGGCCATGTTGACAGAAAACCTACAAATCAATTCCTGTGACACTCGTGTTTATCTGACCAGTAGTTGTCCAAGCAGCTCAAAATGTTTTGTTATCGAGTCAAAACGGTAACTTACTTCATCCTTGAAACTCACCTCCTCAACTAATCCAGAAACACAAGGAGATCTGAAAACTATTATTTGACCAGTATCTGATAGCTAATGTTAGCAAATGTGTCGTATGACACAGATTCTTACCAGTTGTCTGTTCCTTGTGGTAGAAGGAGTACTGGAGGGAGACGAGCTAGCACTCAGAGCTTCTTCAATATCTAAATTCAGCTGTTCCAGTTTCTTCATAAGACATGACATAGAATCTGACCATTCCGATCTTTTTTCTGATTGCGTCTAAAAGAAATTAAATATACATTAAATCTTAATGCATTCAAGCTTTTTGTGGCTTGAAGACTCATTTTTCTGTCTGGAAGAAAGCTAACCAGTGTTTTCTCTGTCTATGGGTAACTTTCTCCATTTAGAAAGCTTCAATTACCTCTCCTCTTCTGTTGAGACATATTCATTGCTGCTCCCCATACTCAAGTGATCACACTCCACCTCTGCACATCTGAATGGCTTTCTAACACTTCATCTTGAGTGAATTACTGCCAGCTCAAACTAAGTGTAACCAAGACCAAGAACCAAAATAACTTTAATGTCTTCTTCAGCTGTTTCTATTTTAGCATCTTCACTGATTGCATACTATCAGTAAGGATCAGAAGATTGAAAGTTATCATGTACACAGTATTTTATTCCTTCCTATGAATCCAGACTAAGTCTTGTAGCTTTCTTCTGCCTATCCATTAGGAAAATCTGCCTGGATTGTCAAAACATTTTCACAGGATCACACAGAATCACAGAATTTTAGAGGTTGGAAGGGACCTCTGGAGATCGAGTCCAACCCCGTGCTAGTGCAGCTTCCTTACAGCAGGTCGTACAGGTAGGCATCCACATGGGTCTTGAATATCTCCATAGAAAGAGACAACGCAACTTCTCTGGGCAGCCTGCTCTAGGGCTCCGTCACTCTCATGGTAAAGAAGTTCTTTGTGTGGAACTTACTGTGTTCCCGTTTCTGCCCATTGTCCCTTACTTCTATTCTCCTTAGTTCCCTCAAAGTCCCATCTAGTGACTCTCACTGAGCATTTTCTCATGGACATATTCCCACTGAGCACCTTCTCGGGAACATGGTTTAGTGAGCATGGTGGTGATGGGCTGACAGTTGGACTAAATGATCTTAGTGGTCTTTTCTAATCTTAATGATTCTATGATTATACGATTCTCATAGCAATCCCTGTGCATGCTGCTTCATTATGCCTCATTTTCCTCACTGAAGACACTTCTAAAGATTCAAAAGAATCACAGAATCACAGAATTGTAGGGACTGGAAGGGACCTCCAGAGATCATCGAGTCCAACCCCCTTGCCAAAGCAGGTTCCCTACACCAGGTTGCACAAGTAGGCGTCCAGGCGGGTCTTGAATATCTCCACAGAAGGAGACTCCACAACCTCCTTGGGCAGCCTGTTCCAGTGCTCCGTCACCTCACTGTAAAGAAGTTCTTGCGCACATTTGTGTGGAACTTCCTATGCTCCAGTTTTCGGCTGTTTCCCCTGTCTCCTGTCTCCTGTCTCCACATACCGCTGAAAAGAGTCTGGCCTTGCCACTCTGCCCCCCACACCTTAGATATTTACAGACCTGGATCAGGTCTCCTCTCAGTCTTCTTTTCTCAAGGCTAAACAGACCCAGCTCACTCAGCCTTTCC